CAGCTTAATTACACACCCAGACAACTACTTTTCTTATCCTGAACCCTCACCTGGTTTACCACAGGTTTTTAATGTGTCATTTAGTTTGTGGAAATTGTAGTAAACACAACTTAAGTTACGATTAAGTATGAGTGCATTAGAAACTAAAAAAATAAAGCTTTTAAAACTGTAATTAGACACAGGACCCCTAAAAAAGACATGGAAACAGCCCCCTTAGTTGATATTTTACTACTGAAAACAAATTTAAATGTCAAATTATTGAGACTAAAAGACATGCAGTAACTCCAGGACCTATTGGGGCCCATGGGATCCTTCTCTCCTGCGCCTGGAATGCGATACAGCCACAAGAAAGTGTACAAATCTTGCGTATGGGACACAATGTGCCATATGAGTTAAACCGTGTCATTCACTGTCATGCTCAATAAACGCTTAAAGAAGTATTTCACTGCTGAAAAGATGTTTTTTTCATGAAGCTGTCTGTGGAGTAGAGAGACGCGATTACTACGTGACCAGAGAGAACACAGAAAAGGGGTTGTGGCATTTGCTTTTGCTCAAGAGATAGAAAACTTAATACTACCAGAATGCACTGTTTTATACTAAATTATTGTCATTTCTTCTTGTTCAGTCTGTACACCAAACTAGTTCTTATATTTTCAAGATGGTTTCCAGAGCACAGAGTCGGCTTCCTCGACTTCAGTGATCTGTTATTTATTTTATGCGTTTTTACCAAGCGGCAACCTCCAGGCCTGAAAAATAAACCAACATGGAAGTGCCAGAAGCTGTTCTTTGAATGACCACTGGAAGCTCTAGACCCCCATGTTAAAACGCCCAAATTCTTTACGGCAGAAAGAAATATGTTTATGGCCTGGTTCAAAAAACGGTTTTGGTCTCTGGCTAATTTCCCCCTGCGTCCATTATTTTTACAGTCACAGCATATAATACAGCATATTTACAGCATATAATCTAATCATCTAATATAATCTTCTCGGCTTATTTAATCAACTGGGGGAAGCTGACAAGAAGAAGACGGGACAATACTAACAAGGCGGGACAGAACATACAAGTAGTGGAAACTAATAATAAATGTTTGCAGTGGAAACAAAGAAGGAAAAGTAATGGGGACCGGCCAACAGATACGTCTAGGTCACACATGCAGAATTCAAAGATTGACATTGGCAGCATTCATTAGCATTTACTGTTACTGTTACTTCTCTGTTTGATCTGTTGTTGTTACCATGCCTTGTGTTCTGCTATTAAAAGTCTAAACTTTTTTGTTGTTTATTGTCTTATTTACAGGGCCTCCATCACCACAACCTGTGGGGCCCAACCTGACCACAACCAATAACAAGCAAAGCACTGCAGACCGGCAAGGTAGCAATGACAATCCACCGGCAGGAGATGTAGGTGGTGCTAATGGAGCGGACAGTGAGCCTAAAGCAGCAAATGCTATAACACCTACAAAAAATCCATCAAATGACAAAATACAAGATAAGACCAAACCACCAGCTGATCAGGAGAAACATCAAGACAGTAATGCAGGAGACCGAGACATGGAAAATAAGCAAGGGCAAGAAAACACACAAAGTCAGCAAAGTCAACAAAACGAAATGACAAGTGTGCCGGGAAAATCCACTGACATAAACAAGGGTCAGCAGCCTGCAGGCACACTGCCAAAAGTACAACCTAAGACCACCGTAGAGTTAGGAGAGAAAGACAATAAGACAGAAGGAAACGGCACCGAGGTGGGCAAGTCAGAAGTAGATAATGCTGGGGGAAAACCACATGTAGACCCCAGTGAAGATGAAAACAAAGCAAAGAACAGCAACAACAAAACAGCAACAGGAGGGGACGACAATGAGAAAACAGCACCAGCAGGGGACGACAATGAGAAAACAGCACCAGGAGAGGCCAATGATGAGAAAACAGCACCAGGAGGGGACGATGATGAGAAAACAGCACCAGTAGAGGTCTACGATGAGAAAACAGCACCAGGAGAGGCCAACGATGAGAAAACAGCACCAGGAGTGGCCTATGATGAGAAAACAGCACCAGGAGGGGACGACGATGAGAAAACAGCACCAGGAGAGGACGACGATGATGAGCAAATACCAGAAGAGACCGATGATGAGAATAGAACGGGAGAGGACAATGATGAGGATGGTAATGAGGAAAATGCTAAAGGAGGGGACATCAAGAAGAATAAGCCAGGAGTAGAGGACACCAAAAATAAAGGAGGAAAAAAACAGTATAACCCATTCGCTGTAAAGGATGAGGCAGAGAGCAGCCATTTCTTCGCCTACCTTGTCACCACAGCTGTGCTTGTAGCAGTGCTTTACATCACTTATCACAACAAGCGCAAGGTACTTGGCTTTTTGCCCTTACTCAGACCTCTTTGAAGCATACTGTCTGTGTTTCCACTGACCTAGATCTGAGGTGCAAATGTTCTATTGTGTGTCAGCCATTTTGGTCCATGTGTTCTTGTTGCAACAAAATGGAGACAGAAATGGAATTATTTTTAGCTAAATCTGTTGCAGACTGTTGCTTTATAATTAGTCAGGTTTTCACTTTATGCAGTGGAATAACTGAGTTAAAACTCAGGTGAATATTTGCTGGTCTAGGTAACATTAAATTTAGGTCAGTGCAGAATTGTGTCATACACTGAATATAATTAATTACAACTGAATATTTGGTACATGTGGTCAGCTTGTGGCTTGCAGATACATTTTTGTATCCAAATAAGCACTTGACAAGCAGAGATGTTCCTAACGACTGAGTTCCTTGAGATTTAAGCATAAGTTTAAACTTAAGACCAGTCGACTAGCCTAAAAGTAAGAAATCATTTAGAAAACAGTCGTAATTGAGCACAACTTAATCCATTAGTTTAAACATTTTCCGAAAAAATATTGCGTATAAGAACCATTTGAAATTGTTAATCACATTTTCCAGCAACCACATTGTATTTTAAATGTAGCTAAAATGTGCGGTACTTTGCACTGGGCATTATGAACATTGCTCATTATCCTACAAAACATGACAACAACTCACTGAGTAAAAGTTAACAAATACAATCTATTGAAAACAATATTCTTTAGGACAATAAATCTTTAGGAAATGTGATTATTAGAATGGCTTTTTCATTGTGTGAATGCAAATTGCTTAAAATAATAATAATTTGAATAATAAAGTTAACTGAAGACTATTCCTGGCGCCAACTGGTGAGGGTGGCAACGTTTAATCGAGTAGTCGACTAACTGCGCTCATCCCTAATGACAACAGAGAGGAGCGACCTTAAAGGAATAGTCTGACATTTTAGGAAAACGAGCTTCATGCAACAGGCTAACTTAGCTGAAAACTTATTTTCTCTCCTTTTCCCCAGATTATTGCCTTTCTTTTGGAAGGAAAGAAATCCAGATCCACTCGTCGACCCAAATCCACAGACTACCAGAAGCTGGAACAGCATGTAAGTTGTTGATATGAGGAAATACCCCCCCCCCCCCACCCCTTTAAAACGGAAATACAATATCATGAAATACATTGTGATGTTTGAATTCTCTCCATTTTCTTTCAGATGTAATCTCGAGTCATCCTTTTGAAGCCGTTGCCTCGAGCAGCTGAATACACTGGGGGTTGCGTGTTAGATATTTTCCTGGTGCACTCTGCGTTGATTTCACCCTTCGTCAGACGGACATTCTTCTATTTTGTACCTTTAGATGCTTATCGTTTGACTATGCAGATGACACTGTTGCCTTATCGAGGGAATTAGTGAAATGCAGTGAAGGAAAAATAAGCATGCTGTTTTTGCACTCGTGTCGTTATTCCTCTTTTATGGCAATCTTGTAATTTGACCTGACCAAGGTCCTGACTCAGGATATTTAAGTAGCAAATGAGAAAAATACTAGCTTGTTTGGATTCCGGACTTGTTCGTACAGTGCGTTAGTGATTGCACTGTGCACTGAAGAAGCCATCTGAATCTTTGTAAAATACTGGCTTTGTACTATTTCTTTGAGGTCGTTTGAAATGTCTTTAAGATAAAATGTATCAAGAGTTGAGATGTTGAGGTTTCACAGTGGGATTTGTGCTCATGTTCATAAGCCTGTAGTGTTGGCCGGATGAATGTAGCGACATTTATTTTCCAAAGGAGATGCTGGCACAGTGCTCACACATAGTAACTGCTTAAAGGCTGAGGCTTTAACATAATAAGTCTGTGCTTAAAGCAGTAGTTTTGGAAAATGTGCTGTGTTGCTTTCTTGCTGAGTCAGAGGAGAAGATCGATACCACTCTTAAATACATCCTGTGAATATAACATTACAGCCACAGCTAGCTGCCAGTAAGCTTAGCCTTGCCTAAGGATTGGAAATGAGGGGGAACAGGTAGCCTCAGCAAGACTGCAAATAACCACACCCTTAAGATACATCTTAATAACTGCATGACATTTTAATGATGTCAGGGTGTTGGCTGCACATGTAAATGCATCTTAATTAAAGCGAATGTCATGCGAAGAGAATCTGCGATGTGTGACTCAGAAAAATGTTGCCAATCTGGAAACCACCAGTCTGGTCACTGTATGGCTCCCCAACACCTCTGTGACATCCTCTTTTGGTTGAACTTCTCTCTCACACCACTTGTTGCTCTGCTTTTAAACCACGGTCTGAAATGTTAACATGAAAACTGTTTTGCAAAAGGAAGTTGGCCAAGAGCTGCACTGCTTTGACTGTTTGGAGTGGACTGTCTGTGTCTCTGGGGATAGGTTGACCACTAATACATCAGATTAAATCTTCCCTCTAGAGTAGAAATGTGTGTTTATGTTCAGACGTGACAAGACTTGTGCCAAATTGTGAACGGTCTTACTGTGATTCAATGTGTGATTCTTGTATTGTGCCTGTTTCCTAAATTAAAACTATATTTGTACTAGGCGGTGGTCATTATATACTGTATGGAAAGCCCCTGAAAAGGAAAAGAAATATAACCCAAGTTTTTCTTGGGAAGAATCAAAGTCTACATCATGTCCCAAAATATATATTTTTATTGTTAAATCTGCAAACAGCATTTTTTTAAAAATATAATTTGCTCTGGAAAATCAAACACCACAAGTCACTTTTTCATACAGTGTGACAGTTAGCATGACATTAGCATGTTTTCAAGATGTTTACTAAATATGTAGCTAAATGACTACGTAGCTATTTATTTCAGCTTATTAGGAATGGCTGTCCATGAAAACATCCTGCTGTCCTTCAGGCTTTGCACAAATATGTGTCTGCTGAACCGACTGAGATGAGTATTGATTCTAAAATAAAAGCTTTTTGTACTTTCTAGCCTCAAATGAGTCGGATTCCTTGACTGCCTTCACTGTCACAGCTTGTTTAGTGATTCAGGGCCAGTCATATAGTTGGTGGTAAAAGAAGAACTCAGGTCATTAAAGGAATACTTTACCCAAAAAAATTATCACATGTGGGTTGATTAATCATGCTGTGTTACTTTAAATTAATGAAGAAGACACTGTTTTTCACACATGCCTCTACAGAAAATGGCAAACATACTGATTGATTGGGAGCCGATTAACATCCATGCAATCTCTCACAGAACTTCTGCAGTATAATCCAAGTCTCATTTATCCAGCTATATGCTCAGTACTTCCCAAACTTATTTATGCTTTCTTTAAAGCCAGACTGCAATATGAAGTCTCTGGCATTCCTGATCTGTGGTAATGTAATAAGCATGCATAAGCTCAGGGGGCTTGTTTACCATTTTACATGATCATTGCCATCACCCTCAATGTCCCGCTGAACCCTGTTCAAACTCTCAAACTAAATGGAATTAAGGCACAAGACGATGAATATGTGTTGAAAACCAAAACAATGATTCTGAGTCCGGTGCAGCCCTAGATTATACTGCAAGAATTGTGCGATGGATGTTTTGATACAGTCTCTCTGTTGTTCACATGGAATGAATATGTTAAAATGTGCTCTGTGGAGGCATGCCGGAAAAACAAAAGTTTTCTTAACAAATTCAAGGCAACACAGCATGATAGTGTGTTTTATAAATGGTTATTTTGTGGGTGAAGTATTCCTTTAAGTAAAAATATCAATACAACAAAAACCCTACACAGTATTATCAACAAAATTTAAAGTAAAAGCATTTGTTATGCAGAAAAATGGCAACATAGCTGATCATTACATATTATAATACATATTTATATTATAGTTAATAGTTTATATTGATGCAACAGCTCTAGTTTATCTACTCTGAAAACAGTCGGATGAGTCAAGTGGCTCCACACCTGGGGGTCAGACACCTTAAAAGGGTCCCATACATCCCAATTTAATCTCAGATGGGCTGGACCAATAAAATCGTCGCACTTTAACCTGTAAGTACCGTCAGCTCCGATATTTTCCTTTTTTTGTGTAAAGAACTGCAAGTACATTCTGTAGATGTTCTTACAAAACAGATGAACAGCCTGAGATGTCATAAGAAAAATAAGCACAATTTTAACAGTATGTCTCAGGTTTTCCACATTCAGTCAGCCTACCTCTCACTGTCATTACATGTGCAATTATCCACACATTTCCTGATACTGACTCTTTTGAACTGAAGCTGCTGGTTGACAATATTTTGCACAATGTTCAATATCTTTAAACATGCTCAGAGGGAAGTATTTATTGTTATATCAGAGAATTGTATCCTGGTCAGGGTGGAAAAGTATATGAAGCAGAATTTTACATGAAGAAGGCAACATATTGTTTAACTTGCTCCTGAAACCTGGCACCTCTTAGTCTAGTCATACAGTGGATTATTGGACACTGTAGATGGTTGTTTCAACCTAAACTCAGAAATGTGACCAGCAGCTTGTATGTAAGGGGCCACAAGCTGAAAATCATGGGAGTCTTGATCTACAACTTGTAACTATAGCTGCCAGATAAATGTAATGTAGCAGTGTTATAACTCATTCTGGAGCACACTATGCTTTGATGTTTCTTTACATGACTAAACAGCATTTTTTCACTGTAGAAATGCAACACAGAATAGAATATATTATTGTCCATACATTTATCCATTGCTCAGTATTGCCCCCACAGAGCAGTGCAGGGGCCTCTTCACAGTGGCATCATGTTCCTGCTCTCCTCTTCATAAATGTCTGGCACCTCTCCCATGAAGGACGACACCATTCGGACAGATGTGCATCCACGAAGCTCCATTTCATACCGGATGAGCTGCTTCCAGAAGCCATTATTCGGCCTCACCACGGGTCGACTGTTCCTAACCCACCCGTGGGCCTCCAGGAGAGTCACCCCGCGGTGCTTCATCAGGTAGGCCATGCACAGGGCGGCGGAGCGGCTCACACCTGCATTGCAGTGCACCAGTGTGCGGCCTCCGCGCTCTGCAGTGAGCTCTACTTTATCCGCCACCTCGTCAAAGTGCTCACAGAGAGGGGACACCGGGGAGTCAGACAGCGGGATGTGGATGTACTCTACCCCGGGAGGAGGAGGACGGCTGCGGCTCTTGGTCTCAGTAACGTTGATGATGCAGGTTATGTTGCACCGAGTCAGCTGAGAGGAGTCACTGGCTGCTCTGCCATTACTGAGATACAGGTGGTCGGTGACTCGGCACAGGCCTGACAGACCTGCGAGACCCGACTGATGCATACACGGCGAGAAATGTACCACTGCAACAGAAATGTCTTCCCAAAATGATGCAAGTTGCACACAGCCCAGTTCACAGTTAAGCCACAGCGGGAAACTGTAAGGCAACACAAAGTGGCCAAACTTGTGTGAGCGCACACGCTGTCGACCCCTGCTGGATGGTGGTTTTCATGAGGGAGAAAATGCACACAGTTCCCTTCATTTTCTTACTTATTATCATAAGTTAATAGTAATAATAATAATAATAATAATAATAATAATAATAATAATAATAACAACAACAACAAAGACAACAACAACAATAATAATAATAATAATAATAATAATAAATTATCTTTGTATTATATAAAGATCTACTTTACATTTTTAGGTGTTTAGTGTGACATGTTTTACTGAAATTATTTCCCAATTTATTCCTTTCATTTTTTATTGTTTCTGCTTAAATTCTATTTTATGTGAGGCACTGTAGCAAATTTGATTGAAGTATTTTGTAAATAGACTTTGGTATTATTATCATTCAAACAATTTTATTAAAACCAAATGTCAAAAAATGAAAAAAATATGTAGATAATTAAATAAGTGCGTTACTTAGCAGAGTGTCTGTCAGGCCTGTGCCGAGTCACAGACCATCTTTATCTCAGCCTGTTTATTTATCATTATATCATATCTTGCTTTTTTTCTTTAAATTAATCAATCAATCACTCAGGTGCAATATCAGTATTGTTAAACTGTGTACTATCTGTACTTCCATCAGTCAATAATGTAAAATTGACCACTCAGTTCACTTATTTGACATGCTTATATATTGCGGTGCATTTTATTTTTTTTTACTGATGCTATGTTGCAAATTTCCCCATGTCGGATGAAAAAAGGATTATGTTATCTTATCTTAATGAGAACATGCTGACTCATTGCAGGGGACAAGCAATCATTTTTAGTAATAGTATATCCACCTATCAGTCAAAACTGCCATTGGAATATATATGAGATTACACCCACTTCCTCCTCAGTAACCTTCCTGCCTACCCATAGTACATCCACCTCAGGGAGGCAATATATTTACCTGCTGACAATTATGTAAAACAGCTTCAGTGTTTGGGACACAACACAAGATTAAAAATCTGGATGTCACCATCAACCCATTTGATTTTAAAATGTGTTAAATGGGAAATTTTTGTGTAATGATTTTAGATAAAAGGTAACACGGGAGGATTTTTCCTCTGGAGTGAGCATGCATTTTGTAATTGTAATTCAGAGCAGTAGTTTTTGAGATATTTTGCACAAAGGGACAAACTGACATCAGAATCGTTTAGGGTATCTTATCCTTATCCAAAACTAACGACCAACAACATCTAAAAGTAGCCATTTTAAGGTATTTCATGTTTATGTATTTTCATAGCATCAAATTATTATGTAGTTGTGATAACTTGCTTAAATACAAATGAGACCATGGGTGAGATGAGACCTGTTACTTGACATGAAATCAATCCACATTCTGATAACCAAGTAATAGTTTGTCATTTTTTAAGTTATATGTCAAATATTCTTTGTGTTCCAGCTTCTCCAGTGTTGCGTTTTATATCATTAACCTATAACACAGAAAAATAGAATCCCTGTTTTCACTTGACAGGTGACAGGTGACAGGTGACAGGTGACAGGTGGAGGCGGCAGCTGCAGGCTGCTGTCAGAGGCTCTGACAGTTGGAGGGTTTGCCAAGCTGTCTGCCAGAATCTGCAGGTGGAGGTTGCTGGCAGAGGCTTTAGGTGCACGTCTGGCAACAGCTGTCTGCATGAGTATGCAGATGGAGACAGCAGCTGGGGTTGGTTGGAGGTTTGGCTGCAGGTGTCTGCCAGAATATGCAGGTGGAGACAGTGGATGCAGGTTGCTGGCAGACTCTATAGATGGAGTTCTGGCAAACCAGTCTGCCAGAATCTGCAGGTGGAGGCAGTGGATGCAAGTTGCTGGCAGAGGCTGTAAGTGGAGAGGCTGAGCTGTCTGCCAGAATCTGCAGGTGGAGGAGGCAGTCCCTGGTCAGCTAAGGTCTTCACATGGCAAAAGGACAGGTTGCTGGATGATGATGTAGATAAAGAATTGGCAGCATTTCTCTGCCAGAATCTGCAGGTGGAGGCAGCAGCTGTGGGTTGCTGGCAGAGGCTGTAGATGGAGGTCTGGTGAACCTGTTTGCCAGAATCTGCAGGTGGAGGCAGTGGCTACAGGTTGCTGGCCGAGGCTGTAAATGGATAGGCTGAGCTGCCTGCTAAAATCTGCAGGTGGAGGGGGCAGCTACAGGTCACTGGTAGAGGCTTTAGGTGCAGGTCTGGCCACAGCTGTCTGCCAGAATCTGCAAGTGGATGTTGCGACTGCAGGTTCCTGGCAGAGCCTGTAGATGGAGGTCTGGCGAACCTGTTTGCCAGAGTCTGCAGGTGGAGGCAGTGGCTGCAGGTTGCTGGCAGATGCTGTGGATGGAGGTTTGGACAAGCTTTCTGCCAGACAAGTGGAGGTGGCAGCTCTCACACCTCTGGAAATACCTGTTGGAGAAGAAGATGATGTAAACTGAATGTAAACAGAGAGGTGGCTTTAATTTATCAGCCCAGTTATGCTGTAGTTACACAGTTATGATTGTCTATCTTACCTGAAAGGTTATATTTATGAGTGCATCTCTGCTCTTTGGTCCCTGGTGCATCTCTGGTCCCTGGTCAGCTAAGGTCACATGGCAAAAGATCAGGTTGCTGGATGATGCTGTAGATAAAGATTTGCCCGCATTTCTCTGCCAGAATCTGCAGGTGAAGGCGGAAGCTGCTGTTTGCTGACAGAGTCTGTAGATGGAGGAGCTAAGCTGTGTCCCAGAATCTGCAAGTGGAGGCAGCACTTGCAGGTTGCTGGCAGAGGCTTTAGATGGAGCAGCTGAGCTGTCTGCCAGAATCAGCAGGTGAAGGTGGCAGCTGCAGGTTGTTGGTGGTATGGCCAAGCTGTCTTTCAGAATGTGAAGGTGGAGACAGCAGCTGCGGGTTGCTGACAGAGGCTGTCGACGGAGGAGCTGAGCTGTCTGCCAGAATCTGTACAAGGAGAAGGCAGCTGCAGGTTGCTGGCAGAGGCTGTACATGGAGGTATTGCCAAGCTGTCTGCCAAAGAACGCAGGTGGAGGCAGAAGCTGCATGTTCCTGGCAGAAACTTAAGATGGAGGTTGACAGAGATCGAAACTTTTGGCAGATGGAATTGTCCTGCCAGCTCTTAAACAGCTCTTGGTTTACCGGGAAGTCTGTGAAGTCCAACAGGGCCTGCAGAAAACCACAGAGAGTTTCCACTTCAGATATTATTTTTAGATGTACTATAAGACAGAAAAATAGAATCCCTGTTTTCACTTGAGAGGTGACGGGTGAAGGTGGCAGCTGCAGGCTGCTGGCAGAGGCTCTAGTTGGAGGTTTTGCCAAGCTGTCTGCCAGAATCTGCAGGTGGAGGTTGCAAGTTGCTGGCAGATACTTTAGGTGCAGGTCTGGCCACAGCTGTCTGCCAGACTCTGCAGGTGGAGGCAGCAGCTGCAGGCTGCTGGCAGAGGCTCTAGTTGGAGGTTTTGCCAAGCAGTCTGCCAGAATCTGCAGGTGGAGGTTGCAGGTTGCTGGCAGAGGCTTTGGGTGCAGGTCTGGCCAACCAGTCTGCCAGAATCTGAAGGTGGAGGAGGCAGTCCCTGGTCAGCTAAGGTCTTCACATGGCAAAAGTACAGGTTGCTGGAAGCAGTGTAGGTTGCTGGATGATGCTCTAGATGCAGAACTGGCCACATTTCTCCACCAGAATCTACAGGTGGAGGCGGCAGCTGCAGGTTGCTGGTAGAGGCTTGAGGTGTAGGTCTGGCCACAGCTGTCAGCCAGACTATGCAGAAGGAGGTTGCGGCTGCAGGTTGCTGGCAGAGTCTGTAGATGGAGGAGCTGAGCTGTCTGCCAGACTCAGCAAGTGGAGGTGGTGCCTCTCACACAGCATGTGGAAAAACCTGTTAGAAGAAGAAGATGATGTAAACTGAATGTAAACAGAGAGGTGGTTTTAAATTATCAGCCCAGGTATGCTGTAGTTACACAGTTATGATTGTCTATCTTACCTGAAAGGTTATATTTATGAGTGCATCTCTGCTCTTTGGTCCCTGGTGCATCTCTGGTCCCTGGTCAGCTAAGGTCTTCACATGGCAAAAGAGCAGGTTGCTGGATGATGCTTTAGATAAAGAATTGGCCGCATTTCTCTGCCAGAATCTGCAGGTGAAGTCGGCAGCTGCAGGTTGCTGACAGATGCTCTAGTTGGAGGTTTTGCCAAGCTGTCTGCCAGAAGCTGCAGGTGATGTAAACTGAATGCAGCTGGAGGCAGCACTTGCAGGTTGCTGGCAGAGGCTTTAGATTGAGCAGCCAAACTGTCTGCCACAATCTGCAGGCAGAGGCTGCAGGTTGCTGGCAGAGGCTGTGGATGGAGGTTCGGACAAGCCTTCTGCCGGACTCAGCAAGTGGAGGTGGCAGCTGTCACACGTCTGGAAATACCTTTACCAGAATCTGAAGGTAGAAGAGGCAGTCCCTGGTCAGCTAATGTCTTCACATGGCAAAAGGACAGGTTCCTGGAAGCAGTGTAGGTTGCTGGATGATGTTGTAGATGCAGAACTGGCTAGTTTTCTCTGCCAGAATCTACAGGTGGAGGCAGCAGCTGCAGGTTGCTGGCGGAGGCTTGAGGTGTAGGTCTGGCCGCAGCTGTCAGCCAGAATATGCAGGTGGAGGTTGCGGCTGCAGGTTGCTGGCAGAGGCTGTAGATGGAGGAGCTGAGCTGTCTGCCAGACTCAGCAAGTGGAGGTGGCGCCTCTCACACAGCATGTGGAAAAACCTGTTAGAAGAAGAAGATGATGTAAACTGAATGTAAACAGAGAGGTGGTTTTAATTTATCAGCCCAGGTATGCTGTAGTTACAGTACACAGTTATGATTGTTTATCTTACCTGAAAGGTTATATTTATGAGTGCATCTCTGCTCTTTGGTCCCTGGTGCATCTCTGGTCCCTGGTCAGCTAAGTTCTTCACATGGCAAAAAGACAGGTTGCTGGCAGTGGTGTCGGTTGCTGGATG